TGCCTTAAATATGCTTTCTATATTCTGTAGGCGTGGGTACTTGCAGCGGCTATAGTGCTCCAGTAGCGTCCTCACAGCGTTTCTAGGGTTTCTCGTTAGTACTTTAAAAGGACTTACTTTGATAAAATATCCATCTTAGTTATTTCTGGTGACACTTTTCATCACGTATAACCTTTTCTTCATGTGATCTACCCAGCGCCTGTGTCTCCTTCACTTTGTTCGCGTCGATTGCTTAACCCAGTTGCATACTCCCCTCTGCCATGTGGCATCAGCAAATGCACAAAAAGCTCTGTGTCATGTGTCCAGTGCAGCAGCTCACACCAGGAAGCATGCGAACCTGCAGTGACCTGATCTGCACGATCGGTCACGTGCTGTGTACGCTTCTTGCTAGTGAACCGCGCCACATTTGTCTGTTGCGAATGCGAGTCTAAAATATTCGTCATGTTGCCGTAGAATTCGCCAGCATCTACTAGCGTTGTATATGGGTAACCTGCGATACCCAAACGCACTAGCTCATAATATAAGCGTTGCGTGCGATCCGCAATGCTGTTGATGAACAACCACTCGCTCTTAAAGACTTCCTTTTTCAGTGCGTTAACCAACTCAGTAAAAGTTGCGGTCTTTGCCTGGCACTTCGCGACCATCGACTTATGAAAGTGGAGGTCTACATTGCACCCGCCGAAGAAGTTAATAATTGAGCTTGTCGCTGACGGGTGTTCCGGAAACACACCAACGTAGCTGTCCGCCAATACTTGAAACTTGATCGACTTCTCCTTGACCTGCCACATAGCAGCAGCCTTTGCCGACCAAAGTTGCGCACCCAGCGATCCCGCACTGTATCCACCTATAACTAAATGCTTCGGGTCAGGAAAATTTTCGAGAGCCCAATCCAGCACAGCCTTTGCGTTGTTATAACCATTTAGATAAATGCCCCGTTTTTGGCCTAGACACTGTTTGTTTCCAAGTAACTGACTAAAGTTACTTTCGAAAGGCTCCAAGTACGTATCGCCAACAAAGATATCCCCAGTGCAGTATGGCAGAAACACAATGTTTCAGTCATTGAAAGGATTGCCTTCGGCGCCAAGTTGGCACTGCAGGGCAAAGTTACATGTGTCCTTACCAATGCAGCCACCTCCTCCCTAGAAATGGAAACCAGCAACTGTGACTTGTCCTGATT